CGCCGGGCCGCCGCTGCTGGTGCTGCTGACGGCCGCCGCCGCCGCCGTCCCGCCGGCCCTCACCGTCCTGCACGATCTGCCGCTGCTCTTCACGCTGGACAGCCCACAGTATGACTGGTGCAGCCCCCACCCTCCAGCGTCTGCTGCGGCGGGTGTGTGGGGCGAGGCTGCTGTGGCCGGTGTGTGACGGGGCTGTCTGCTGTAGCGGCTGTGTGTGTGAGTGTGAGGGGGGGGGGGGGGGGGCAGGAGCTGTCTGCTGATCCCAGGGTGCGAAACAGCTTTTGAAGTAGTGTTTACTGAAGCGTAAAATGACTTCCAGGACTCTTGGTACCAGTATAACGACGGTGCAAACGAGGGTCTACCTGAAGACGTGGACCTTCGAAGGCAAATTTTCCACACTGACACTACTAAGTTACCACCCTCTAAGAACTGTGACTCGAGCCGAGCTCACCGATGAACACCGTGAGCTGTAGGTCTATTATCTGTTGGGTTTGCAAGCAATCTTAAAACCCAAAAAGATGTGTGAAACATTCCACGACACGCTTAAACTCCACAGGATCAACAGAAAAATCTGGGAGATTCTTTTTACACCGACGCACGCGCGTGCGACACCCTGGCTGATCGGCCTCCTGACCGGAATGATGCTCCACAAGAACCGGGGCTGCAGTGCTCTTCTACGCAAAAATCCGGTATGTCTTATCATTCTACTGGCTTGTGAAACACTATGAATGAATGGTTGGCAGAGATGAATGGTTGTTTTCTTCATAACAGGGATAATTACAAATGTGAAAGCACCGGGTCGATCCAATATAAGATCGATGATACACATATATGACAGATATTGCTAAACAATATGGTTATCCCTATAATCCGGCACCAACATATCACAAGGATGACAGCCGATCGCACGACCTGATCGAGTACGCAAATAATGGGTAGCATTGTTTACCTATAAGGAGTTGATAAGCCTTACCATTTAAAGTCATGCAATAGAACGTGTCAATTAAGAAGTGCGCAATGTGAGTCAAACAATGCTCTTGTTGGTGCAATATCTTGTAATCAGATACAGAACAATGCGCAACGACGCTCATAGCTTCCCTCGTTCAGCTTCCCTCGTTTGACCCACGCTTGAGCCGGTGTTCCGTTGACAGCCGGTGGTGGCCTGCGGCTGGGTGCTGGCCGCGGGGGTGCCGCTGGCGCGTGTCTTCGCCTGTATTAACTTCACGGCGCCTGACGCACCGCCGCCGCCGCTCGCCTTAACAGTGGCGTACTCGACCCTCTGCGCGCCGGCCACGGCCGCCGCCGTCTGCTGGGTCGTCTGCGCTTGCCAGCTTGGTCATGGCGGTCAGTCTGAGCTTGGCCCGAGCCTCGGGTGAGGGGTGCCGAGAGGGTCGTCTGCGCCTGCCAGCTTGGTCATGGTGGTCAGTCCGAGCTTGGCCCGAGTCTCGGGTGAGGGGTACGGAGAAGGCCGTCTGCGCCTGCCAGTTTGGTCATGGCGGTCAGCCCGAGCTTGACCCGAGTCTCGGGTGAGGGGTGCCGAGAGGGTCGTCTGCGCTTGCCAGCTTGGTCATGGTGGTCAGTCTGAGCTTGACCCGAGCCTCGGGTGAGGGGTGCCGAGAGGGTCGTCTGCGCCTGCCTGCTTGGTAGTGGCGGTCAGTCCGAGCTTGACCCGAGCCTCGGGTGAGGGGTGCCGAGAGGGTCGGCTCCACCGAAGCGTAGGGACGGACTGGTGCGTGCATCATGCAGGGGAGGTGCAACTGGGGCGTAGCAACCGCGAGTAGTCAGCCACATGCGAATGAAGCCGGCCGAATGCCTTCCGTCAGGTTTCATTCGACGTAGCCATGCAACGTTTCGGATCCCTCTGAAGCACGGCCGGCAGCCATGTCTCCCTCGTATCACCTAGTGCGCTTGGATAGCAAACTGGTTGGAGATCGCTGATTCATTTTAGCGTGCCAAGTCGTACCACCGGAACGTCGACGAAGGCAAACACCACCTCTGGTGCCAGCAGGTGTCGTCTCCCGCGTGCTGTCGGCACCAGCGTTCGGCTGGTTCCGGCGCGTCAGCAGTGGCTGCTACGTGTTGCTGCTGCCGGCGCTGCTCGCCCGCTGGCTGTCGCAGCAGCACGCCCAGCCCTGGACGCCGACGCTGCTGCTGACGGTCTGGCTGCTGACGCTGCTGGTCGTCCTGCCACTGGGCGCTGTGCTGACGGTGGTCGTCGCCATGCCACTGGCGGTCGCCGGCAGGAAACTGCTCCCACTGGGGAGACGAGGTCGGTTTACCAGCCGATTTCACTTAGCTGAAGACGTGTCAGATCGGGAGGGGGGGGGGGGGGGGGGAGGCCGGGCCGTGACTCCAGATCGTGATAAAACGAAAAATCCATGTGAGTCCCCGCTTCGTCAAGCGTCTACACGCGGAAACTGTTCAGCACCAACTACACTTCTTGTCCGGCAAACCATGGACAGGAGATAGGCGCCCATGACAAAACCAGTTGGGGGCGGTGGAACATGTGAATCACGATGGACGTAGCTCGGTCCCACGGTGTGAATGTAGCTTGGAGGATGGACCAGAATCGAGATGGCTCCACTCTTGCTTTACGGCACCACGACTAAACATGAGAAGCCGACGCTTGTACAGTAGGTCAGTATTATACTGGAGCTTAAGATGCGCATCTGCTCGTCACCGAATATTGTGAAAGGAAGCACCTCCGTAGCGTGCCCGATTTCCCGCCTTTTCAACACCTTGCGTACGAAAACAACCTCACGAGAAAGAATCGACAGCCAAATTACACTACGCATGGCACGACACAACAGACAACGACCTATAAACACGCAGTCGTTCGCTTTCCAGACACACCGACTACGTCCTCGGCCGGGAGCTCTCGGAGGGCCCTCGATCACCAGATCAGCGCCGTTGACTACCGAGACGCAGCGACGGCGTCCTGCGAGAGGAGTCGGCCCTTCTCGGGGCGGCGCCGCCGTGCAGCTGGCAAGCCCGCCAGCTGGTCGGCCTCCGAAAGAAGCCCGACGCGCTCCGGCAGCGGCGACCGTCTGTCGGCGCATGAGGCCGGTCCACGGACCCTCGAGGCCAGCCAGGACACGTTCGTTCGCCGTGACAGCCTCACTGCACACCTGGTGGGCTCCTGGAAGGAAGGCCAGACAGCGTCCGCTCGCGGTCGCGGTCTCGCGGCCCAGCCGGCCTGCTCGGAGACCTCGGACGAGGGCCCAGGCTCACCGGCCGGCCTGCGGCGGCTGATGGCCACGCTGCCTCGCCGTCACGTCGCGCCCGACCAGCTCCAGCGACACCTACGAAGGCGAGTGGCACCACAAACATGCTTGGACGCCCCTTGCACGGCGCAAAACAAGGGCAGACAATGGTTATGAACCTATGAACCAATCATCGCGAAATCTTTCCATACTTGTACAGCGAGGGGGTAAGCCACTCGCAGTGCCGAACATCTAGGTATGCCGGAATACGCGATGTTGGCGCAGGATGACAATATCGCAGTATTTTTCAAGTGGACGTCGTCAAACATATCAACAAAATACTATCAGTAAACCGTAGTCACTCCTTCAGCGCTTTGAACCTTGGATTTAATAAGCGCTTGGGTCGGGGTCCAATTGAACCCCGAAGGTTTTTCCAAAGTGGTTTCCGAACGACACGGGGCAGCCGCGCCAAATTCTGCTTAGCTGTTGACAATTTAATAGTAGATCGTTTCGTGTCAAAAATTTATATTTACCTTGTAAGACTGCTGATCTATGGCAGGTCAAAATCAGGCCATGGTTCAGCGAAGGCAATTTCTGGGGAATCGTTCAATCTGATGCAGCAAGAGTGTAACACAAAGTCATACATTTAAGGTGCTTTCTTAGGCAACACAGCAATTGAATGAGCAAATTACACTGACCTAAGGGCAGAAACGAAGGTCAGTTTCTGCGGAATCGTTTAATCTCATGCAACATCGGAGTGTTAGACGAATCCATGCATCTCTGAGATGCTTTCTTAGGCATCACAACAATTGAACGAGCAAATTACATTGACCTAAGATCAGGTATGACCGTCAGACCAAGGTCAAAACCAACCTGTTTTATTACTCTAGGGCTTGCTGGACGGGATGGATTCTGGTGTCCATTTCGAGTTTATTGATAGCAGGAGCCGCATGCTACATCTTCAATATATTTCTTAGAGGTCAGAATAGGTCATTGACCCAAAACGGCCCAGGTCAACAGCATACTGTTTAGCATTATCTTTGTCGCTTATTCAAATGCAAAACTCAGAGCAATCTTGTATGATTTTGGTCACCATGACTTTCAAAGTCAAATAAGGTACCGGACCATAAATGAGCATGTGACATTTTGCCTAGAAACAGTTATCTAGGTACCGGGGCCATCTTATAGACCAGCCTGGAGTTTGACTTTGTTTGACCTTATTTGACCCAAAGGCCATGACCTAGGAACCTAAAACATTGACTACGTGAGTTCACGTATAGGTCAACACACCCTGTGAATTTGGTATCTCTAGCTTTCTTAGTTCCCGAGATCTCAGGGGGGCTTAAGCTGGCCCCCTTCCCTCACCCGAGCGAAGAGTATCCAGCCGGCCACCCGGGCGCGTGTTAAATGAGAGCAATTCGTCTAAAAATGTTCTGGTTTCTCCGAGCTTGGTTAGCGGAGATCAACACATTGTCGTGATATGTGCCAGTTTTCCACTGATCGCGCCATGCTGGGCCCGGCTTCAGGTACGACAGCGTGCGCCTGGAGTCTGGCGGCGGCCGACGCCGCTTCCCACTGCACCCGCGCCGCTGGCTGCCGGCGGCGGCCGACCGCGCCGCCCGCAGCGATCCGGGCCAGCCCGAGTACTGGTGCGCCGTCCGACAAGACGGCTGCTGGCGCGGTGGCCGCGGCGTCAGCAGCTAAGCGGCGCCGTGGCCGCTGCAGTCGGCCGAGTAGACGCGTCACGAACCGGCCACACCACACCCAGAACCAGGCTTCGAAGACAAGGCGGGGGGCGACAGGGGCAATACAAGTGTATTTTGTGAACGCTAGCACCAGTATCACATTGCACACCGTGGCGACAATCCGCGTTAAGAGACAAACACGCAAGCTTGTCTGTGTAAGACGTAACAACAACATGAGCTACTCAGGCCGCACTACAATAGAGCCTTGACCTTGGTCAGACACTTGCTGGCCATATCTAGGGTGTGGTCGTCGCCCTGGCGCTGGGCCAGTCGTCTTCCGGTGGCGCACGACCGCTCCGCCTCGCGCAGCAGCCCCTGCTGCAGCTGCACCACGCCCAGGTTCACGTGGAACGCTGCCAGGTCGGGCAGGCCGCGCTCCGTAGCCAGCTGGACGGCCCGGCTCAGCCGCTCGGCCGCGCGCTCGTAGTCCTCGCAGAGCGAGTCGAGCGTGCCAAGGTCGTTGAGCAGCACCACCGACTGCTCGCCCGACTCGCCACTCAGGCGCACGCACACGGCCAGCGCGCGCTCCGTCAGCTCGCGCGCGCGGCTGTACTGGCCGCGCGACGTCAGAAAGCGCGCGTACCAGTCAACGGCCATGCCCCAGAGGCCGAGCGTGTCCGGGTCGCAGTGCTGCTCGCCGACGGCGTCGATCTTGCGCTGCTGCGTGTCGATGCAGTAGCGGAAGCCGTGCTCGGCGCGCTCACCGTCGCCTGTGGAGGCGTACACGCTGGCCAGCTTCAGGCTGACTTCGACGAAGGCGTTGTCGTCAGTGGAGGAGGCGGCTAGCCGTCGCGACAACTCCAAAAGAAGTCTCTCAGCTTTCTTAAAGTTTTCCTGCTTGAAGGCGATGTTGGCGAGCAGGTCGTAGATGTAGGTCACAGCAGCTGCGTTTGACTGTTCCTGAGCCACCCGCAGGGAAAGGTGAAGGATTTTCTCTGCTTTTTCAAGTTCACCTTTCTGAGAATACACCATGTGTTAAGTCACATAGTGTATAGTGTGATATGCAAACCAACCACAGACAGCACAATGGCATTACCATATGCAAAACAGATATCATAACAAGCACAATGCATATAATAAAAACATTACACATGGATGATTTTCCCATCTATAATGCTGAACTGCAAGTCAAGGATAGTTACTACAGCTGATTATGCACTGCATTGTGTATGCCACCATTACTGCCTTGAGTATGTCATACAGTAACACTGACAACTAACCACAGCAATAAAAGTTACCATGTAGCATACTACATAAACCCCGTACCTGGATGGAGAGCACAGCAAGCTTCATAGAATGAACCAATTCACTGTCTTCATCCTGCTTTGCACTGGCAGCAGCAACCACTGCTGAAGTCAGCACAGGCATAACATAATGTGACCCATCATTATTTCTCCAGCTTTGTTTGCCATACACCTTCAACTGAAATGATGACAACCTTAAACTACCCACTATTGTTTTGCAATTTGGCAATCTTGTGATCACATCTGGATGAAGTCTATTAGTGACAAGCCCTTTGGCTGCCAGCATTCGCAATGCTAATCTTCTGAATGCCATAGCACAAATGTCAAAGATAATGTATTGGCTCCTAATCACCTGGAAATGAAGGGCTGTCAAACCCAAATCCATCAAAACAGCTGCACAATCCACACAGGCATATCTTACTCAGGGTTCATAGTGCAAAACAAAACAAAACAAATGCTAATACCATTCTGTACCATTCTGTATCAGTTTATCAGGAATCAAACAGGCAAACCTTACCAATGTCTCACCAGTCTTTACAAAAGTCTTACCAATGACCTAATCCTTGCATCACCAACATGTATAATATGGCCACCAAATCACAATGCCCATTATCTTTAAGAATGTCCTCTATTTTAACTACACAACCAGCAGTTACATATTCATCATAGTTCAGAATGAACAGCTAGAATGGATCTACACTTTGTTGCAGATATCATCACAGCTATGCAATGCATGGGGAGACTCAACAAAAGGCCACCATCACATATGGTAGAGCAAAATATTTGAAGAGAACACCATAGTTGCACAGTAACAGTGTTGCATCAAGCCAGCTATATGCTTCACAGGCACAAGAAAGGTGACCTAAGGCTAGACTGCAAAGATGCACAACATCCTGAAGATGTTAGGTATAGCAACAACACTGCAACAATTTCAACATACACACATGCCTCATACATAAGGGCTTTCAGAGTTTGACACATAACTACCACCAATTTAAGTCACAGGTACTCAATATTTCACAATTTCAACACATGCAATTCACACACAAGAGCATCCAGAGCTCAACACACAGTCACCAACAATTTAGCCACAAGTAGCCATTGTTTCAAGAAGCTTTGACATTGCAAACATAATTTCAGACAAATACTCCAAAAACCCTCTTCCAAAAAAGAACAATCACAGTGATTCGGCCAAACCTGCATGCGGCACGCACACATGACCCAGGAGTTTGTGCACGCATGAGCCCAAAAATCTGGTATGGGTATAATGGATGGAATTTTTGCAGACTAGGTCCAAACGTGCCATAGCACCTCTAACCGAGAATGTTGAACAACCCAATGGACAATGACGAATATAATGAATCCACCTCACAAATGGCTTTAGCATCCAGACTCTCTCAGAAGTTTCTTTACTTACGTGTTGCTCAATACCCTATAAGCCATACGACTCGCCACACTGCCAACCTCAGTTATTGAGCATACTAACTGTGGCAACAGTGTAGTGAAAACGACGCGATAAATTCCTAGTTTGTGACAGATGCGCCGTAACCGTAGAGCGAGGCGCACAAAATCACTGCTAATGGGGAGGGTCTGACTGGCCGACGTAATCTGTTGACAGCCCCCATGCTCCGAGCCTATTGTGCTGAACGGACAAACTGTTCGCCAATAAATACGCCATCTCCAATATCCTATCGCTTACAGAATATGGCGACCTTGCGTCAGGCTAAACGTAACCAAAACGCTCCAAACCACCAAAATTGGTCACGGGCAACCCTATAGTCTGAGCCTCTGGGGCATGTCCGCACAACACCTTTGCCAATTGATGCGCCATGGTTGGTAATCTATCCTTTCCAGAACATGGTGAGCTTGGGTCAGGTCAAAGTTCTTCAAAAATTCTCTAAACCATAAGAAACTAGTTTGCAGACAGCTCCATACTCCAAGCCTAGGGCACCGACTGATACGAAACCTTTACCATTCCGTGCCGCTTGTCGGATTACCCACCCTGTCCAGAACATGGTCACCTTGAGCCAGGTCAAAGGTCACCAAGAACACAAACGAAAAAATGGTTTGCAGACAACCCAATGCTCCTAGCTTGTGGGACTGATTGGCGCAGCAACTTTGCCGAGCGATGCACTTTAGCGGATAGTTTATCCTCTCCAAAACATGGTGACTCTAGGCCGGGTCAAGTGTCTCCAAAAACGCCTAAAATTTCCAGGTTTCGTATGCATCGGTCTCATAAGCTTGAGGCGTGGAGGTTGCCTGAAAACTAATTTATGGTGGTTGCGGGCATTTTTGGAGACTTTTGACCCGACTCAAGAATACCATGTCCTGGACAGGATCAGTTATCGACCATGACATTAAGCGTTTTGGGTTGATCAGTCTCACAGGCTCTGAACATGGGGTTGTTCGCAGGCTAACTTTTCGTAGTTTGGAACATTGTTTGGCCACCTCTGATCTCACCTAAGGTTACCATGTTCTGAACTGGAAAGATAATCGACGATGGCGCATCGATTGATAAAGCTTTTGTGCCAATCCTTCAAATAGGCTTGGGTCGTTGGGTTGTCAACAAGCTAGTTTGTGTTGGCGTTTGGCAATTTTTGGTGACGATTGGGGAAGGTTTCGTGTCGACCGCGACCGCAGGCGCGAAGCGTGCGGCCGTCGGCAGGTTGCGGCGGCTATTTAGTCCCTCCGCTGCTGTCCGCTTCCCGGGCGCGTATTGAAGACACGTGCCATTTGGCGATAGTGCATGCGCTCCAACTGGGATAATGCCGGCTCCGACCGCACCGACCAGCCAAACGTGTCCATGAAATTAGCGACGTATTCAGCGACAAACTTTGGTTTCAACGAGAATGCCCCAGGTGATCAATTACGGCACAACACCAAACCCAGCTTGTTTCCAATACCACTTGACCAAACTTAATTTCAGGTCAAATGAAAGGAAGCCCAACATTGCCCAAACGTTACTCGCCAATGTCACGTAAGTAATGTTTTTCAGCGCATGGGGCAACGTACGTTATTCCTGATGACTTCATCCTCGCTGGAATAGTGGTAGCGGATCGCGAAATGATTGATTGCGGTCACGTTATATATCGGTAATACCAGTCGAAATATACAACACTACCACAATGTATTTTTACACGACAGAAAAGCCATTCAACACGGCACCAATGATCATTTAAGCAGAAATGTTTGATTCAATGATTTAAATCATACACATACCAAATACGTGATGACATTCAATCAGAAATTCAAAACCCGACGACGCAACAAGTAAGCAACACGAGAACTCTAACTTCGATCGAGTATCCAATGTGTAAAATTGGGCACAAACACCGTTCAGCAATCGACCATGACAGAAAATTCAGCAAAAAGTGCTGGCGGCGAGTCTACAAGCAGGCATTCAAGTCCGTTAAAACATCGCAGACGACAAACGACTGCACTTCACCAGTAAAACCTATACTACGAGCGCCACTGAACTGCTGTGGAACACATCGACCACGCACGCAGTAAGTACTGACTGCTGTGCTGCGTCTGTACTGTGCCCCAAGCCATTCAACGTCGAGTTCTCCAAGGCACCTGATCGTGCTGCGCCGAACTATGGGGTACAATCAACGCAGACGTAGGCCTGCATGGTTGGTTTATCATCACACGCTCTTGTACACTTAGTCCCAAACGCGGCAGGGAGAACTGATCTTCAAGCACAAGCTGAATGTCAGATTCTGAAGAAATCTTTGATGCTTTTCTGACCACTCACTTGCTTTATCTGTTTTAGTTTTATCTTCCTTTGCACGTTTGGCTGCTCTTTCGAGATCACCTCTGGCTTTGGCAGAATATTTTCTTGGTCTTGAGGTGCCTCGATCTTCCTCTTCTTTGGTGCTTTCGATGGGTTAAACAGGGAACGCTTCGGCTGTTTTGCCAACTTTGAAGACTTTGGGGACAGAAGGTTTTCCTGAAATATATGCGTTGTAGTGAACCAGTGGATCAACGACTTACTTATCCACAGAAAATGGAATGGAATGAAAACCTCCCGGCTCTTACCATAGTAACAGTTTAACATCACCGTGGCTATAACAATTAGCTGTCTTGTCATTTCACAGAAACCGCCGCTCCTATCCAAGCCACTAATGATGTTTATCGTATAGCGTGAACCAGTAAGCCCATAAGCAGAATCTTCAAAAAGACATTTTCGAGAAAATGCAGAGCGGCGAATGGATTTCTGCAAGAGTTGCATTTTGATAAAGGCCGACTGACGACTTGTACGTACTCTCTTCCGGCATGTCTGCATTCATCGCATGCATAAATTGCGCCTGGGTAAATGAACATTTAAGAATGTTTTGTGCTGCCATGACATCCGCCCTGACTCGACCGACGCCTCATACGCCACATCGACTATTCTTCCAACAGCACTTAATTCATCAAGCGCAAACAGCCAGATTAGCGGCCAGTAACTTCCCCATCCACTTCGCGCATCACGGAGGCATTAGCCCCTTTCAACAGATTTGCTAGGTGATAATACAAATAAAATATAAAACCTTCAAAAGATAAAAACAGACTGTCTCGACACATTCAGCACATCATGGGTTGCGTAACATGTCCAGAAGAATGAAAAAAAAACAGATACGCAATAACGAACTTTCCAGGCCCATGCCCAAACAGTCAGGACTTTCCTAAGCGCCTTCAGCGCAATCACAGCTGCGGCCGGGCGCCCGGCTGGGCGCGCCAGCCGGTGTGGACGCGTGACCCACCTGCTGGCCGGCGCGCTCGCCGGCCTGCAGCTCCCGGAAGGCGCGCACGCCGGCGCCAGGCGCGTACTTGGTGCCGGAGCGCGAGCAGACGAGCGTGGGTCCGGCCACCAGCTCGGGGCTGGGGCCGGCGTCGACCGGCGCGCCGCCGCTCGGCCCGTCCGCCGCCGGCAGCCAGCCCAGCGAGGCGCCGAACCTGCCGCGGCCCGACACACCACGGTCACGATCGGCCGGCCCGCCCGGCCACCAGTCACGGTGGACGCGGCGGGACGGCCCGCGCCGCAACGCGACGGACGGGGTCACATCCAACGACGCTCATCACTAAGCGGAGTGTCGAAATCCAGCAGTAGGCCAGATCAACGTGTGGCGGTCAAGGAACAAGGCAAACCACCTTGTCCCAGATGAGACGGTTCCGATCCCGCACTGTTTACCGTCTCATGTACTATAGGGTAGAGCGATGCAATGCACGGAAGATAACGCGCATGATGCGCACGACAGTCTGCAAATGGAGCAGGTGAGACACGGCACATGAAAGATGGCAGTACGCGACTTCCGCACGTCCGCAGGATAAATCCTACATTACCCGACGACGACGCCATCCAAGCAGGCACGCCCACGCGACGCTGCAGTAAACGCAGCAGCCAGCACCAACCTCTTGCTTGTGGTGGGCGTCTCCGTGCGCGCAACACCCTTCTTGCGAAGGCGCTCCTCCAGAGACAGGCCGGTCACGTCACCGCTGTCTTCGTCCAGCTCGACCGGGGTCCTGAAAGGTGGTGGGCCGCTAGTTCCCATATCAGCGGCACAATTTCGCAAAAAAAACCATTAAGCTAAGTGCCATCCAAAATATTCACACGATCAGCTTTTAAATAACCTAAACTGCTTTCGTCAACGTGGCTCCAAATGGCGCCAGGAAGTAAAAAATAAGAGAGGTGTCATCAAATAACAGGAACGCAGTGCTCGGCGACAGAGGTAACCAATATGGTGAGCACATCTCTGGGCAGCCTAATGGCACAAGCACAAAACTGACGGCGGTAAGTTATAACGATCAGCATTTCAACAAGGCCGACAGCTGTATGAGAGCAGGTCACGCACCGTGCCGTCAACACCTCGACAGAGGCACATGGACGGTTCTAGAAAGTAGGCAGATAATATCTCGGGCGACACCTACATGATGCAGTCAATGGTGGCATAGCTGATAAATGACTGTCAGCGACAGCAATGAGATCTTCCTTTGCCATAAACAATAGCATTAATGCGTAGTCTACAGAGTATTATTTTTCTGATGGAGACTTGAGCGTGCACAGCAGCCCGAGCTACAAATGGGGCTTCACTGCTTGCAGCTCCTTTATAAATGTATTCACCAATATTCCCCGCAGTTCGCCTGTGCAGCTTTGGGTTCAGGAAACCCATCAAGTAAACATTACTGCGTAAACTCTGAGCACGCCACCCAAGCAGCGCCATCCAGTTAACGGAAAAATTTGTATCCCACTGTTCACCGGACAGGAGCCTCGCGGGGGGTTTTACGGGCCGCGCAATGGCACGGCACGGCCGCCCCGCGCCTGAGCTCAGTCCACAAACCAACACGTACGCCACCTGGCAGCTAAAGGTGCCTAGCTTCCAATACATCACGCCGTGTAACGTCACACTCGGGCAGAACCAGCGCGGTCGTCTGCCGAAGCCGACTCGGCCGCCAGGCTCTTTAAGGCCGTCACTCAGTCGACTGAGGCGGCACATGACGGGTGCGCGGGTGCTCGCTGCGTACTGCATCACCCAAAATCGTTTTAGTCCGTCTCTTTTTATACAACGCTTAAGCTAAAAGGCCGTCTTCCGCATTTTAAATAGCGCTATATACCACACCTGAACAGGGAGACGACGGAAGGTAGTGCCAGCGGGGTGCGGCCGGGCGTGGTGGGACTGCCGACGGCGTCTTCCAGCACGCTCAGGTGGTCCACCACCGGCGGACTGCTACACGACAGGCGGTCACACAGGTCCCGCACCGCCTGCCAACGACAGACGGTCACACAGGTCCCGCACCACCTGTCAATGGGTCCATGCAGGACACACGTTGTGGCACACAGACCATAGACAATATGCAGGTTATGTGATGTGCACCAGCCCTCCTGCTGATTGATTCCAACGTCTCTGCAGTGAAGCGTTGAAAAACTCATAGTTTCCATGGGCTAGTGGTAATTCCAGTACGTACACAATGTAACTCACACGCGCACACACCCACCACAAACACACACACCCACACACACACACACACAACACCACACACGCACACACACACACACACACGCACACCCACACACACACACACACAACCACACACACACACACACACACACACACACACACACACACACACACACACACATACACACGCACGCATACACACAAATCAGTCGGACGTGCCAAAGCCATTCTCACTCAGTTACGACCACATTGACCTGTACCAGCAGCTCACGTCACACACCGGGTTGGACATGATACAGCCGGCGTGTCCGCTCCACTCTCACGGTGTACCCAGACACGCCGGCACGAAGCCCGGGCGGCCTGACCTTGACTGGGGGGCCTCCGATGACGGCCGGGTCCGGCTGCTGGCCGTAGTCGCTGCAGACCCGCTCTACGGTCTGCCGAAGCTCGGCGGTCACCCGCTCCACCAGCGCCGGCCGCAGTCGGCTGCCCTTCAGCACGCAGCTCTTGATGGCAGACAACAGGCGCAGACAGCACTTCCTGAGGCACGGCTGCTGGTCAGGACGCTCAACATCGCATACAGAAGCTGCTGCCCATGGCCACGCTGAACGCCGAGCAGCATGCTGATGACAAAAAAATCGACAAAATAGAAGAACTGTCCGTCCATCTAGCTGTCTAGCGCATGGACAATCACACATACTTTTAAGAGCAGGCGAGGCAAAGTTGCCACGCATACATGGCCGACCAAATGTAGACCACAAGAGTTTGAATGGTTCACCTGAGGAGATTAAAGGGTTGTTTACCTGCGTGGATGAACATCGCATACGATAGCATGCGAAATGACGTACGAATAAAATCCGCCGCACTCCTTGAGATGGGTGGAGCTTGCACCGCTTTCAGCCACGCCCCCTCCCCTGCGTCAACAACTGGCCCCGCAGAAAAATAAGGACCCCTCTGTCCAACCACCGGTTCCCCCCTTGCCCCACTAATCCCAGGAGTGCAGAGCCCGGCACGTGTGGCCAGCTCTCCGGGGCAGGGGCCGTCAGGTCTGCCTGCCGTGGCCAGCTGTCCCACCTGGGATCTGGCTCCTCCTCCAGCACGTCGTGCAGCTTGTGCACCAGGTGGACCAGGCCTCGGAGCGCCGGCGTGCTGGCGTGCAACGGACAGTCCGCGGCCGGCTGGTAGTTCTGGCCGCCCAGCTCCACCCGGCGCACGTGGGACACCACCGTCTGTCGGAGGCCGGCGCCGCCGCGTCAGCAGCGCTCCACTGGCCGAGACGGTGCGGCGAGGCGGCGCCTGACGCCACCGTCCAGACGGGAGAGGCAGGCACGCACACACCGCCTGGGCAGGCGGGCGCCAGGCGTGGCATATATGCAACTAGCACACGGGCGGCCGTGCGAGGCCCGTTAGTATACATAATGTTTAGGTCACCCGTCTGGCACACTATGCCTCTCAACAGCTGCAAGCGTGACGGCCCAGATACTTGCCTGGTACATGGGCATGGAGCGTGTCCTAGCTGCGCGACGGATGGCAAGAAAGTCCTGGCTGGACAGCTGCAGTCCGGGTGCCTGGCAGGCAGCTGCCAACGCCAGTTCGTCTCGAGTGTTTACCAAAACACGGAACAGGGCACCTGCGCAGGTATTCGACGGGAATCAATCGTCTCTCCCGGGTTTCGTGGCGTGCATTGTACGATTCCATGGCTCTCACGACGGAGCTCAGGTGCTGGAGGGGAAAGTTGTCAAGTACGACCACGTGAGTATCAATAACGGAACAAAGATTAGCTAAACAAGCATTGTAACATTCCACACAGAACCTGCACAATGCGTCGCATCTGCCCACAGCCACCATCGCACTATTTGTCGTCATATCGTTCTGCACCTTCTGCTCTCGTCGAAGCAGTCAACAAACCTCGATGCGACGAGATCAAAACCCTAAATATCGGCACCACACCGATAACTCGGACCGGGCCGCCGGTGCCCGGCCTGCCTCACCGATCGTGGTCCTGACGTGCTGCTCGGCCGGCGAGAGGCTGGTGCCGGCCGGCTCCACGTCCACGCAGTGCCACACCGTCTCCACGGCGTCCAACGGCGGCTCGTCGGCGCCGTCGGCCGGCTCATCGCGCGTCGCGATGGAGCCGTTCAGGTCGACGGCGGCCGGACGGACGGCCACCACGCGCTCGCCGAGCAGCACAGCAGCCAGCGCGCGCTCCAGCTCGCTGGCTGGGCTGCCATGGATCAGCACGGGCCGGTCCGTCGGCGGCCAGCGGCTGGCCGTCCGCCGCCAGCCGCCGCAGTCGGCGCAACACGGACGGCGTGTCCACCAGGTGGTTGTCGGCCGCGTACTGCTCGTAAGCCGAGGTGTCCAGCTCGGACGCCGGCAGGTCGCCGTAGATGGCGTTGTTGGTCAGCCGCTGGTGGACGGCCAGCACGTCGCTGGCCTGGACGCAGAACTCGCCACATTCCTGAAACGGGCGGCCTCGTTTGCATGGGATAGACGGATTCACTGGCAAGTTACATGGCTTAGAAATGGGAACAGTACTGGGTGATTGGTGCTGCTAACATGATGAAACTTAGGTGATGGAACGAAAGGTGTCAGAAATTCATGAAGCCATGATTCGAGGCAACGGGAAGTACCCTGCTCCACTTCTGACGTATTCCCACGTGTTCTTTTTACAATAATTTAAATAAGTGCTTTCCTGGGGTGGCTTTAGGATCATGTCCTTGCTAGGCAGATTGTTGCTAGGACCCTGACACAACCACCCTGCGGTCTATGAAGACACCACGCCGTCTATGGAGACTGCAACGCCCCACGTAGTATTTGCTTTTAAACGAGTGTGTGCTTACGAGCGTGGCAAGTGCGTGTGCTTAAACACGCTCCTCAATTCTTAAAAAATAAATATCCCAAGGAGAACATCGGTAAGCCACATCAATACAAAGCTTTCCCAGTTCTACTTAGCATCTACATTCAACCAACAGGTTGCCTTTTAATAGCTCTGTAGAACTCCAGGAATTATGGTAAAGACCCTGATTGTCCTTGGCTTAAAAACAAAAGGCCATTGAAATGTTGCAAAATGAGTGGCACTGGCTTTTATTCCAAATAATCATTTCATCTTGGATTTCCTCAGTTTATGGGCTTCTAAACACAATTCAAATGACATCTTCCCGCGGTATCAGGCTTCTGTTTATGGAGTCGGAGATAGCAACTTAAGGTCCCATCAGGTCACATAACTTAACCCTTGAGGCAACCTGATACATTCCAGGTCATAAGTTATTGGCACTTGTGCCGTAATCAAGCGCTGAAGGTTTGTTGACCATCAGCTGAGCCATTTAGGTACCACACAAAGAACATTATCTGAAAAGCCATATGATCATATGCCCAAGTGTTTCTGACAGTGTTACACTGGGGCAGTGGGACAGACCTGTTTTGCCTTTTCTCCAAGACAAAGCTGAATAGCTCTGAGAACATCCTCTTCACTAAGATGGAGAACATTCCATTTTGGCAAGACCTTTGCAGCCCTGCAGACCTGCAATAAAAATGTTTGATGCATCATAATTCCATGCCAAAGCATAGTAAAGCATTCAGAGTTCAATAACACATATTGAAACCTTTGCTCAAGCATTCTGAAACATGAACTTCAACTAAGCTTCAGTGATGAGCAAGATGCATACACCTGCAACCAGCTGTCACAAGAAATGGTTGAAGGATGGACATGACTGAAATGTGACTGATGATGAACAATACCATACATGAACTTTCCAATTCATGAAACAGTGTGCTAGGGACACACAGAATGATAGCACTCACATGCAAACCTCTTTCTGAGATGGTTGGGCAATTTATCTGTGATGTTGAAAATCTCAAATGGATTACATCTTGGATTTCAGAATGTTTCAATAGTCCAGAATCTTCAGATGTGATGTGACTGAGGGCTGCCTCAGCCAGGCTATCATTCTCCACAAGAAAACAAACAGGCTGCATGACTGTCACCTGAAAAGGGGCACATGCTATGCAATAAAAACCAATGCAGGCAGCAGCCTTACCACTACACCACTCCATGTAGCACATGGGGCACTCTCTGCTTCATTACATGGAGTGGTATCAGAAGTCCACTGGGTGTTGAGGAGAAAATGTGTATAAGCATATCATGCTTAACCACTGATGGCAAGAATTTGTCAAATCCGGTTATGCAACATTATGGCACATATTGTAGCCTTCATTGAGACTAAAGCACAAAGCTTTCCTCACAAATGTTAACCATAGCACACATCATTGATGCCTTGAGCCCACATTCTTTGGATGAGCCAGAAATGACTGTTGCAGCAAACAGCCAGGACACTACGCCCATACTGGCCATACCTAAATAAAGTCATAAAGATGGCTGCTCAAAAAAAATCGCGCTGCCAGGCCATCAATATCCCACTCCCCTTGCGCTATAGCTCAGGCCATGGGTATAACTGAACAAAACTTCATAAGAGGGACCCAGATACAAACACCAAATGATTGAGGCCTACCTTCACACACAAACACACTACCTACCACTCTCTTTTATTTTGGACGTGCACCATCAATGCCCGATGCACACCATTTGTTTTCGAAGATACAATTTTCGCGCCACCACGGCGCGGCTGAGACGAGTGCTCTTACCTTGTAAAACGCAGCATGGTAATTGCAAAAGTGCTTTGCAGTGCCGCTTTGCTTTAGGATCTGGAAATGAATAAAGAAATGCGCAGCAAATGACATATCCTCCTCACTTACGTACTGTTTTTTTGTTTACCCAGAAGTTTTGCCTCAAAACAGCAATATTTACCAAAAATAATGTATCTGGCCTTAAAGAAAATCGTGGCATGAAGTGAACAGCAGCATAGAACAGCAGCTTGGAACCAAGTATAGAAGTGGTAGTGAATGTTCTTTTCTTGTGATCCCGAAAGGCTAAAATCTAGAATCAATCACTTCATCTTGCGCTTCGTCTCATGCAACGAAATGCGGGAAAATATAGGAACGGTATTGATATATGATAAACGTGTCTGCTATAGAAGGTACACATATATCCTTTAATAAGTTTGTAGATGTCTTATTACACAAGAATAGACGTCGGCGACCTAGCCCGTCGCTTGTGAGTCGTGCGATAGTGCAGAGCCAGGGTTATGAAACGCCATAATCAAGTTATCCCCGCGTAACTGTCGGCATTTTTAGCACGCCGCAGCGGTTTGCGTACAACGGGCGATCGGCTACTCGCATTCACTAAAATGGCGCGAGGGAATCACATCAAGCAAACAAGCGACGGGGACCAGGTCCCGTGTTTTGGGTGTCCTGCGGTAACCCTAAAACAGGGTCATGTGCAAGTTCCACTCGCGGAGTTCGGCTATAGATAATTTGATGCTAACATCGCGCCCAGGAAAGGCGTTGCGGCACGAGGACTATCAAACAGTGTGCGACCGTTGGGCGACAGCATTGTCTGGGTAATATGGGGAAAAGCGGCCCAGCGGTCACCCAACATACAAGATAACCAGTGGATCAGACAACGAAAGCGCAGCGACCGGTTTTTACCCGATCGGCTTAGACAGGCGGCGAGCGGCTGGCCAGGTTTTCAGGCTCGTCAGATAATCAGCGGACCGGCCAAGCGGTTGCGGGTGGCTAACGGGCGGCTCGGTTGTCTGGTGGACAGCGGGCGCCGCCGCGTCCATCTGCTGTCCACCGGGTGCAAAGGGGCGACTAGGTCTCTCCACGTGTCGTGTGAGCGTGTTAGAGTGTCACTTCTCTTGCGGTTCGAGCAGTTCGCGGCCACATTATTGGGGCCGCGTTAGAAGGAGCAGCGTCTGTGTCATGCCCTGCCTAACACCAAGGCAGACGCAATGCAAGAGATCCATACATAACCGGCCAGATGTCTTCACTGTCTGGTATGTCATGTCTGAGACTGTCTTCACGCGTACAGGGCAGGCACCTGGCTCCGGCCGGCATTCGCAGTGATAAGGCTGAAATGGAGCGAACACACTGCAACTGTGAGAAGCAGTTGCCGCCCAGGGACCAACACACTTGCCCGGATAGCGAGCGCCGGACCCTTATGAAGTGCAGAAGATACACCGTGAAAATAATTGTGAAAAGTGAAGTGGCCCAGCAGGGATCGAAACCGGCTGTGTGATCAGCACCTCCTGACAGGCATGCGTCCGGACCAGGCCACCGCTCAAAATGCGCCTCAAATTTCCCCAGGATTTCGCCCACTTTTTCTCGAAGTTGAGAGTGGGGTGGGGATGGGGTCCCAAGGCCCGCTCGAATCAAATAGGAAACTATAACACCCCTCATCCAGGCATGTGTAACTGGAAGAAATAGCGCTGCAAACGTGACTGCCCAGAAACACATGGGCACTGTCCGTCGGAGTAGTGTAGTGTTTAGTGCAGCAGTGCAGTGCAGTGTAGTGCCGCGAGTCCCTTTGGCTCTCGTTCGATGCGCTGTCGAACAATTCTGTTTTACAAAGCAATGTACCACGGTCTGTATGAAGCAGTGCCCATGCCACACTCTTTTTACCTCTCATTATTAAACACAAACAATATGCTGGTCATTGGATATTCTGGACACGCACATGCACCTAAGCAATTGCCGTAAAGTTCCATTGTGTGCCTCGTCATCAATGTGCCTATCACGCAAGTAAAGTAGTTAGTTACAGCATGTCACCACCATGATCCGACCGCTCCGGTGTCGACAGAGAAACGCGACGCTTCCATCCTCAACTAAATATTATTCACACCGCGAGACGAAATGCGACGTTGCTCATAAAGGAAATCGACACAGACCAATGCGGGCACATTTGCTTGTGTCGATTTCATCTGTGCCGCGTCTGTGTCGCACATTTCTTGTGTCGACTTCGGACAGGCATACCAACGCAGTAAATCAGCATATAAATGATGCGTTCGCCCACCACAATGTGCAAAACAGCACTAACGAACGACCACAGGTGGTACAACAGCACCGACACACAGCTGCCAATCAGTTTAGTGAAGCATGCATGCGGCCACCGACGACTCATTGTGTACAATAATCACAACCAGCTTTGGGCGATACATCACCCCACCGTGAGGCCATGCACTCACTGCATCGTTTTATATGTGCGCCATGTGCACACAGCACCATCTTAGAGACCCTGTACATTTGCAGTCATGCTGAGGTTATGTGCGCCCGTAATAGCCGTTCGTACACGTCATGACGCGCTTCGATACCAAATTTTCCTTTGCGGTCCACGCCGGTCGGCTTGTGAAGGTCCGACTTTCGCATAAACCGCTGCGCGCCACCTCTCGACAAATGTTCGGATTTGAGCTTGCGTCGAGCTCCGCCGGAAGTGGCGTTAGCCAAGTCGGTCGCCGGTTGTTTCCGGACGCCGGCGTCGGCGGCGGCGACGGCGGCGGGGATGACCGGCGGCTCTGGGGCGTGCAACAGCCGCGTGTTGACCACCTCAAAGTCGATCTGCATCATGTCCAGGTGCCGCTCCGGAGCCCGTGCCGCCACTGAGAGACGCAAACATGGTCAGCCACATCAGCGGTGTAGTTCCTTTTTCGGTTGGAGGGGCTTCAGTCCCCGCATTGCAAAAGGGAAGCGGCTTAAACCCGTGAAGAAATTATACTTACGTTCAAAATGGGTGTAGATTGGGTCAGCTTCATCCGAGTCAGCATTCTTCCAACGATATTACCAACCTAGGTCCGTGAACGTCATCATACGGGAGACGGACGACGGGTGCAGCTGATGGCCTACATAGTTCCGCTGATCAGTGCCCGCTTCAGTGTTGATACGGGCCTGGAAGACCGTGAATGGACAGGCAGCGTAACTGACAATTATTTGGCCTTTCGGCGGTGTGCCAAGCTGCAATCTGAGCGATAGGAAGTGCGCAGTGTAGCGAACTAACTGTCGAACGATGCACACCACAGTCAGCTACACGGGAAGCGGTGAAGGCAGTCAACTGCACGTAAAGCGGTGAAGGCAGTCAACTGCACGTAAGCGGTGAAGACAGTCAACTGCATGTGAAGCGGTGAGGACAGCTATCTACACGCAAAGCCGTGAAGACAGTCAACTGCACGTCACGGGGTGCGGACAGTCAACTGTACGTGAAGCGGCGAGGACAGTCAACTGACCGTTGAATGGTGCCGACGGCAGCAGAAGCGACACCCGCGGCCGCAGCGTCTCGTTGTGCTTCAGCGCCGGCAGCATCAACTGCTCCCCGCTGAGGGAGACCACGTAGAACGTGTCGTCCCGCCGCTGCACCGCCTCCATGAAGGCCGCGGGTCTGCCCGCTGGGTGAGCAGCCTGCTGCCACCTGGCGGCAGCAGCGAGTTCATTACGTCATTTTTCGGTTGAACAGCATCGACTCACCACGACTCATCCGTTATCTCTTTGATTCGTTTTTATTAAAGCCCCTCCAGCCAGCAGTGATCATGTCGTGGCTACGGAATGAAGGAGAGTGGGTGGCGGGGGCAAAACCACATACACCTGGCAGTCTTCCGCCTAGACTGGGCGTACCCTGACCCCTATACGGATGCGCGCTTGACACTTGGACGAGGCCCCGCCAGGGGGCACTTGCAGCCACTCGTGGTTGGTTCATACATGCAGCTTGCCGCGGACAAACGGGTCGTCGTGAGGATGCAGCATGAGGCGAGAAAGAGGAAAGGAGCGCAGATATCCATCATCTCTGGCTTTCAAGCTTCTGGCTGACACCCATGGTAGCTGCTGCAGAAAGGCCACTGAACTGTTGCTCATAAAAATTAACAACAGTTTTTGCCAAGAACGGAAATGCTTCCGGATCCGTCGCTGGCCCGGCCGCGGGGCGCCGGGCCAGAGCCACCCCGCCCCACCGCTCGCGCCGGCCGGGTTGGCCACTGGTGTCGCCGGCCGTATAGAAGGTCCAGAGCTGCACCGCCTCACCTCTCGCGCCGGCTGGGTCGGCCGCTGGTGTTGCCGGCCGTGCGGAAGGTCGGGTAGCCGTGCCGGTCGGCCACAGGGTCCAGGCCCGGCGCGGTAGGCAGATGGAACCGCTCGAACCAGCTCCGCAGCACCTTGGACAGCCTGTGGAGCGGAGCATACTTGAGTCCAGCGCAGGCCAACGGGTAGGCACCCAACTGGGCTGTTGAGCGGTCCTGAGTCCAAGCTTCGATGCGTCCCGAGCTCGCATGCCCCTCGTAACTCGCATCACGCCGGCGCCACAGAGCAGACTGGGAGCTGAGATACCGAGCGAGTGGTGGTTGCATGCGTCGACACGTAGTCGGCTACTGATCATTTTGGCCCCCGTGTTCACGGCAGACGATGCAATCCAGTCGCACAGGACTCTACCTCACCTCCTGGCCTCCAGCTGGCTGACGTGTGGGCTGCAGTTGGCACCTCCAGACGAGTTGGTGGCGTCCTCCACCCGGGTAACCTCGCCGGCGGAAACGCCGGTGTCTTCCGTTGGCGGGTCGGCCGGTGCCCAGAGCAGCGTCCTGCCGGGCGCCGTCTCCGCCGTCCGGTCCCCCTCCGATGGATCAAACGGAGGCGGCAGCGGTCCGGAGAGCAGCGAGCTGGCGACAGGCAGGCAGACAACACCGGAGTCGGCGTCAGTCAGGCGGCGGGCGTGGCCACCGCACGAGCTGGTCAGAAGCACCGGCCGGGACGGGACCACTGCAGTGGCATTACCGAGCTGTTCTGTGCAGCTGCAAAAACCGACAAAACAGGTTCAGATTTAAGAACCTAGCAAGACGCTGTCGAATTCGTGGGTCTAGGATATCAGCCTGGAGGTGTCAGTACTAATATGGATGGAAGTAGCCATACTGGTAAGCCTTTATAATCTGTGCTGACCACACATCAACAGCGTGCCCGCTAGCTGCGCAAAACCCAGTGGGCCCCCAGGTTCTGGACGACCAGCAGCCGCCGTGTCGAGCCCATGCTGGCTCCGTGCTCAGAGACACCGGCAGCATCAGCCGCGTGCGCACCTGATGGGCGCCAGGTTGAGCGAGGCGATCAGCAGCACGGAGAGCAGCAGGAGCGGGCGGCGCGGCGAGGGCGGCGGCGAGGCGGGCGTCTGCAGGCCACGTAGCATATCCACCTCCACCTGCAGCTGCGCCAGGCGCCGGTGCAGCTGCTGATTCTCGGCGCGCAGTCGGCCGCAGTCTGCCTCTGTCCGCTGCAAGTGCGCCTCCATCTCCGAGAACTGGTCCTTTTTCTTCTTGCGCGACAGGCAGGCGGACATGCGGTTCTTGATCATGCGCTCCTGGCGCTTCAGTAACCGTGACTGGCCAGCGGCGGAAACCGGCGTCAGTCGAAGTGGGGAAGACAGTGGCAGCTACAGCCGTGCGGAAGTGCGAACAAACTCATGTGATGCATTACATATATGGCGTGACGTGTCGATGACAAACACAGCTGAGCACTGTCATCGCCTGGTCTGGACAGTTGTGACTTACGGCCAGCAAAGACCAATTTCAGGCCTTTGGAGTGCAGGAGAGAGGTGAGCAGGGAGCAAGACCGGGGCTAGACCGTGGTCATCAGGGAGTCCTCCGCTACGGAGACTTACCACGCCCAAGGAACCTTCTTTGGGCTACGTGCGGGCGCCCGTGCGGGGCTCCCGATAGGGGTGGGGTGGGGTGGGGTGGGAGGCTTCAGCCCACTCACGGCTGATGTGCGCAGCTTGCCCCGGGGTGAAAGTGCGTTGCAGGTATTCGGGATGAGGCCGTGGATGAAAAAAGGGGATGACGCTTGTCACAGGACGGTTACCATCATAACGATGGAGGTTCGGACACCTTACCGCCACGACGGAGCGGCATAATACCAACGGGCGCGCATGGTTCTCATATACGTTGCGTTAAACGGCCCAGCGGAGCATGACTCATCAAACAGCACGCATACAGTGTACCTAAAGCGTGTCATGTGAGGCGGATGTAAAGTTGGGGGCATGGAATGAGTGGAGCTTTTAAATTGGGCCGAATTCTGCTAGGTCGATTATCCGATCACACATCAGAGTAGAGTCCCCATCCACCACGACTGACCATTTCATCGGACGCGTTGCTTCGCTTTTACATCCCCCCCCCCCCCCCCTGCATCGATCGCTCTTTTGTCTGATCATGACGTCAGCAGCTGTGATCCAGGCGCCGGTGACTCGGGGACTCACGTCCACGTGGCGGCCGGCCGGCTGGGTCAGCGGCGGCCGGCCGGCGGCCCGGACGGCCGCTGCCGATGGAGCGGTGCGCTGGCCGGGCTGAGTCAGCGGTGGCCGGCCGACAGTCCGGGCAGCCGCTGCGGATGGAGCAGTGCGCTGACCGGGCGCTACTGCCGCTGCCCTCACCACGTATGTGTGCGCCACAACCGTGGCTGCCCCGGCTGCAAGGAAGGCGCACGGCTCAGCACTCGGTCCGTAGAGGGCCGCCAGGTAACCGGCGGTCTCGGTCCGTAGAGAGCCGCCGGGTAATCAGTGGTCTCGGTCCGTAGAGAGCCGCCGGGTAACCAGTGGTCTCGGTCCGTAGAGGGCCGCCGGGTAACCAGTGGTCTCGGAACTGCGACGCAACTGGCTTATAGTACAAAAGTCGCAGAGACTGACGAGATCGGTACAGCTTCGGACTCGGCGGACGAACACGTTAGTAGACAGCGGACACGTGTCGGCGGGACGCAATGGGGACAATGAAAACAGGGCTTAAAAAGAGCTTCAGCCATATCAATCATTTGTCCGCGCAGCGTCAGGATCAGGAGTCATACTCAACAATCTAAGCTAGCTAGATTCTGACCCGACTTCCAAGTGGTCGGAGCCACGAGATAATTTGGTTCCAGGCTGTTAGTCAGTGATGATGATTTTGCTACGCAACGTTATTGCAAGACAATGACCGCGAAAGCCGTACTTCCACCCCGACCGCCGACTAGAAACACAACGGCCTTCGCTGTGTGCGAACCATCCGCAACCGGCTGGTTTACCACTTGCCAGTCTTACGTCCTATCCACTTAACCGCGTCGGAGAGTTGTGCTTCATGACACGCGAGAGGGTGCAAACCGGCACAAGTCATTAGATCTCGGTACTTGCCAATTACTACCTCCGCGGCGTGTTAACGATAACTTCTCATTGCACAGACAATTGCCGCAAGTGCTACACGAAGCCAAAAACACGGGTAGTGCGTGCTTGAGGCAAACTACTTGTGTTCGCATCGCGGGATGGATGTTGGATGTTGGTTTGACGTTTCGCATGCCGTTGCTAAAACCGTGACGCCAATTTCGTTTTTGGTAAAGCTAGATGATCCGTCGACATCGATAGCACAAGCATGAATTTTGCAGGCACAAATCTTTTAGTTCTTTTTTTTTTTGTTATGCAACAGACAGAAAACCACTGAACAAGAAAGCAGCTTCGGACTAATAAGAACTAAGGACTAATCAAAAGAGAACTAATGAGGCGTTGAAAAAGTCTGCCAACAGGGGAGATGAGCGATACGATCCATAAGTTTATGGAGTTTGGTAAATACTGAGCTGAAACGGACTGAAAGATCAACTCCCTTGGTTTATCCAAGCCTACACTTGAATGAATGATGAGTGTTTTGCACCATTCTTGAGCATTGCATGTGCTATTCTTGTAAATGTGTGGTCCGTTGCCTTATGCCAGCATTCCCGTAAAACCGATGCAGCGCGGGTGAAGCAGGTAGTTGACAGCCATTTCGGTATTTACATTACCTCACGAAGGAATTGATGAGCGGCGCCACACAGTTTAAACGCTGCCCTGCGACACGCACGTGCGTACCGGCGCAACGAACCATCCGGGTCATCCCACCATCTTCTCATCCCCCCCCCCCTCCACCCAAAGCGTCGCTTTGGGTTCACCCTTGTTGGTATATCTCTGCTGACGTTATGGTAGTATGTTAGCACCTTGTCCTTGCCTTGAAATCCGTGCCAGCCACTCTGATAGACTCGGCCTTCCCGCGCGTTGCCCCATGAATGGGCCCGCTCAGCGCAGCTGGTTGCACGTTCGCGCACGGCCGTGTACACCAAGAGATGAGGGCTCGGGCCCAGCTACCAGCCCGATGTTACGTTGTCCTCGGCGACAATCAGTGAGAGACTCCGACGCTAGGTCTCCTGCAGTGTTCGAGGCGCCCCTGCCAGATGTTTGCTCGACTCCGGGCGCGGTCCGAGCAAACTCAGAAACCAACCGAATTTCCTTTCCGTCACAGTGAAATTGTTTCTTTGCAAAATTGGCGGGAGTCGGGGCTGAGCCGGCTTTTTATCAGAATCATCGGTGAGCCGGCTCAAATACGTGAGAAACCGCCGAATACACTTCATTCCGATGGTGAGAATGATGGTCCAGTGCCAAGAGGAACACAACATATATATACGTATATATATATATATATATATATATATATATATATATATATATATGATATACATATAATATAGTGTTTGATGGAAGATATGTCTAAATCCTGACCTGTATCAGAACCAAAATGCATTATATGAACGCAAACCCACAGAATGGTTTCACTCCCACGAAGTTGATACCAGAATCGACTGCATTCGGATCGATTCCGCGGTTGCGCCATCTTTATATGCGCGTCAAGAAGCAGACTAGATAGAAAACTTGCGCTGCATTGCACGGAATCCGGACCGGTATCAGCCCCACGTGTTATAAGTTGGATTCGGTATCGGCTCTACTGGATAAGAATGGGACACGAACCGGTCATTACGCACCACAAATTTCCGTTTCGTTACGTGAAAGTTAATCACCTCGGCGTGTTCACAGACAGGCAACTCGCTGCGCTTTCCTGCACTGCTCACGGCATTAAGAGATCAACGACTTTTTACATGTAATTCAGTAATCTAGACTGAGGCTTACGCTTCATTTCTAATCCTTGTTTAGCTGGACCGTGGCAGCAAGGCACACATAACGGCTGATAACACCACGCACTATTGGTATGAAGCGATTGTTGCAAAGCAAGAAGCACGTGTTTCTCCCCTTACCGTACTGAGCAGTATCGCAGTGGTGGCCTATTTGCACGAGGCCTGCCCGGTCCGAGCCCATGTTTGTGGCATGCCCCCACGCGCGCAGCAGCAGCGCCCTTCGCAGCATCACTCACCGGCTGGTGAGACTGCGGCGAGGCCACCACGGTGAGCCGGCTTCCGCCTCAGGGGTCCGGGGTGTGGTGAGCAGACGGCCAGGCCCGGCCGGGCCGGCGGGTCCTCACACTGCCGGCGAACGGCCGCTCAGTCAGCACCGCACGGATCGGCAGGTCCCACCATGGACGGGATAGCGCGTACAGGCCATGGGAGCAGCCACCGGCGGTGAACTCGCCATCCGCCAGTGTCGGGAGCTACGGCCCCCCAACGTGACAGAGACTGGCTATGGCCCGTTTGAGCTGGGGAGTTATCATCAGAGGACATTTGGCGCGGCGGTTAATATGCGTTGGTGCATAGGCCGGTTAGGGCATCAGAGGAAAGAGTAAAAAATAGAAATGCTGAGGAGATGGGTGACAGAGGGATCCTCTCGTTCATTGTTTTATTCTTTCAACATTCCTTAGCACTTCAGGTCGGTATCTACGAAATCCATGATCCACACCGCGCTTCATGAACACCATCTTCACCCTTTGGACGCTGAAGCCTCCATTGTAGTGGCGTTGCGCTTCACTAGCTTTTCATTGAATCCGACCTTGAGGTGGGAACGGTGGAATTACAGCAATTACTAGCGCGTGTAAATATATATATATATATATATATATACGCATATATATATATATATATATGCGTGTGTGTGTGTGTGTGTGTGTGTGTGTGTGTGTGTGTGTGTGTGTGTGTGTGTGTGTGTGTGTGTGTGTGTGTGTGTGTGTGTGTGTGTGTGTGTGTGTGGTGTGTGTGTGTGTGTGTGTGTGTGTGTGTGTGTGTGTGTTTCCCTTTGTCTTTTGAGCTTTAGAAATTAAGGACTTCAGGCCATGCCAGGTCACGTCTGTATAGTTTCCTTTAAGCCATGCCAACATAATTGTCCCAAGGTAAGGTCGGGAATAAGTCCTCGGATATTTAGGGGGATGCGTATCAAACAATCAAGGAACAGAAAGCGTATAGCGATGAGGACATAGTGAGTACGTGATTCTCCAATTTTTTTGCGCCAGCCCTTGACAACAAACTTTCTAAGACCCCTGCCTGAAGTGTGTTCTGGTAAATCCACTTGTCTACCACTTAAAGCAAACTGCAGCAATGACAACCCAGTTCCCACCATCAAGAGAAAAAGGCGCACCCGGCAGACGTGCAGCCACAGACGTGTCTATGGTTTCTCAGCGATCCCACAGGTTTAACTTGGGTTCAGCTTCCCACTCAGCAAAAATTGCTTCTAAACTGCCCTACTTGTCTAAATTATTGTCTACTCAATGCCCTGTTGTCTAGCTCTGGTTGTCTAAATGTCGCTTGCGGTTGCAACGAGAAATCAGCGTCCATGTCTGCAAATTTGTGCGTCGCACACCTGTACGTTGTTCTGTACCAGCCTGAGTAGGTGAATGTCGAAGCGCATGGCATACGCCTTCGCAGATATGGCTGAAGGGCTCTTAAAAAAGTTGATAAGCATTTCTCGCTGAGTGGGAATTTAATCCCCGGTTGAGTTTGACGAATGGCGAAAAACCAGTTACTTCACCGACCGGGTGCGCCTCTCTCCCTTGATAGCGAGAACCTATTTGTTGCCGCCAAAGTTTGCTGCGAGTAGTAAGCAAGTCTATATGCTAGAACGTCGCAGGCATTGGGTTACGCATGCTTACCAACGTGTTGCAGGCTTGCTCGTGGGAAAGATGGCTATCAAGGTCCGCTTCCAGGAAATTGTGGAATCATTATTGAGGAATTAATAAACTCATCACCAGCTCATTGTCACTGATTTTCGGGAGCTTGAATGTTAATGAATGTTATACTTTTCCCTGAACATCTGATGTTTTATCCATCACACAATTTTGTAAAATATCTGTTGTCATTGGGCCGGGCTGAAGTGTTCCTACCCCACCTGAAGACCACCAAAGACCTAAAATCTTTGCTTTTGTGCATCATTTAACCGGAATAAGATTTCATCGACCGTCCCCTTAAAAATTATATTTTTTGTTGAACCACCCTGTCAGATGCCGGACGTGCAATCCTCGCGAAACCACATCCCTAAGAATAGCTGGTACAGGTGGGAGCTTCGCGATGGATTTTAGGGTAACGCAACTCGTATAGCACAACGTGCAAGCCAACGAGGAGGCAGAGCATCGCCCGCCGCTAGAATGCATTGATTGGTGGCATCGACATGACCTAAATACTCCATTCAACAAGAGAGCCGGGCGAACTGGTCGGCACGGTAACCGTTCGTCAACACGGCGTGGTCCAATGCCCGCTGACCAGCCTGGCTAACAGCCAACTGTTGGCGTGGCGCTACTAATGAGATCAGCTCAACAGCAACAGCTGATAATGCCCATCGTGACTATTTCAGATCGACGTCACTCGAGGAAAAATGATAACATTGATGGGATGCCACCAACCGCCGACGCCAGGTTCGAGGTTCGAGGCACCCGACGCACCGGTCACCCACCTCGAAGCCAGCTGGGCTGGTGTCTACGCCGCTATCTGAGCTCTCTGGAGACGGCGGGTCTTGCTTCAGCTCTGACGACGAAGGGAACACCGGTTGGACACGCCGCACACGTCGCAAACTCAGCGGGAAATGCGTACTGATAAATACCGACAACTCAACCGGAAATATCGAGCGCCGGCACACATAGACGTGACAGACAAACAGGCATGGGATGACATACGCTAGGAGGTTAAGGGGTCACTGGCCTCCCAGAGCTTTCCGTTGCCCCGCCCCTTCCCCGCCACCCGACCAGCGGCGATCGCATGGGCGCTAAGGGGTCGGCTTCCTGACACAGCGATCTTGTCCCAGCTGTATGCCAGCTCCACCCCCTTCCCCACCCTCTTCACGAGCATCGACTTGTCCTTTCCCTGAGCATTGGCTTGCCCTCCCCGCTCCAACTCTGGCGCGGGCCTCGGGACTAAAGACCCAATAGGGTACACACGCAGTGACGGGTTCAGCGAGATATAAAGACCACCGGCTCATCAGACCATACTAACCAGAGAGTCGGCAGGCTCCGCAACTCACCAAGCATACTAAACGGAATACAGATCACGGACCAACGGACGTGCAGACCGCATACTCGACGGACAGATCACAGACCAACGGACATGCAGATCACATACTCGACGGACAGATCACAGACCAACGACTGAGTGGAACTGGCAGACCACCGACCCAACACAACATACCTACAGATAATCTGCTCAGACCCATATGCCTACGGACCACCAACTCAGTGCGATATCTCTACAGACCACCGACTCAGACCTACATACCCACAGACCACCAACTCAGCGTGACATGCCTACAGACCACCGACGCGGACCCATATACCTACGGACCACCGACTCAGTGCGATATCTCTACAGACCACCGACTCAGACCTACATACCCACAGACCACCGACTCAGCGTGACATGCCTACAGACCACCGACGCGGACCCATATACCTACGGACCACCGACTCAGTACCATATATCTGCAGACCACGGACTCAGACCCATATACTTATAGACCACCGACTCAGACCTATGCATCCACGGACCACCAACTCAGCGCGATATACCTGCAGACCACCGACGCGGACCCATATACTCACAGACTACCGACTCAAACCCATAGACCTGCAGGCCACCCTCTCGGACCCATATACCTACAGACCGGCGATTCAGCACCATATTATTACAGACCACCGCCTCTGTACGCTATACCTACAGACCACCGACTCAAACCCATATACCTACAGGCTACCCTCTCGGACCCATACACCTACGGGCGAGCGATTCAGCACCGTATCATTACAGACCACCAACACAGACGCATTTGTGCCGTGAACTCTGCATGACCAGTTCAGTATGACCTACCAGCTATTTCGTAAACTAAACAGCTTCCTCAACCTCACGCAGAGCGTATCGCAAACAAAATGATGAGCCTGTTATACGAAAGTCATAATAACACCGAGAGTCGACAGACGAGCAACAAATGTTATGAACCACTTAGTACTAAACATAATGAAGGGCCGGTCATTCATACAAAACGCCACGGGATTTCTCATCCCTTTCAGATCATTTTCCCAGGTCGTGCTACATCGCTGATGACGAAGACGAATACTGCGCACCTGATCCGTCCTGCAGTCCTGCGTGCAGCTCATCGATGTCGATGGCCGAGTACTACGTACATGATCTGTCCTGCAGCCCTGCGTACAGCTTATCGATGTCGATGGCCGAGTACTGCGTACCTGATCCGTCCCGCAGTCCTGCGTACAGCTCATCGATGTCGATGGCCGAGTACTGCGTACCTGATCCGTCCTGCAGTCCTGCGTACAGCTCATCGATGTCGATGGCCGAGTACTGCGTACCTGATCCGTCCTGCAGTCCTGCGTACAGCTCATCGATGTCGATGGCGTGGTCGGCGTCCATTCTGAAGAGATCGGACCCGTCCTGTGTGAGCAGACTCTCCATGGCTGGCATGCTGGGCAGTTCGGGCGGGCCGATGCCGTCCAGCAGGCTGCCGTGTAGTCCATCGCTGAAGAGGTGCGGCACCGCCTCCTCTGCCGGCGACAGTGACATCACACGGCTCAGCTGTGTGATCTCTCATCTCCTGGATCACAAACGGAGGCACGGGGCGCCAAAGTCGTCCGGAGGTAAGTGAAGGTGGAACGGAGGGTTTAAACGGTTGGGAAGGCTGTCACGACTTGGAGAGAATGCTTCATGTTTGAAGACATTGACGCAAACAGCAGATATGATGCAGACACTTACTAAATTTTAGTTAGTGGCGTAGTTTTGAGCGCCAGACTGTTCTCGACAAATACAGTATTATTTAGTAAATATACTCCACAAGACGGCATCGTTTGGTTGCGTCATCGAGCGTTTATATGACGTCAGAGTGGCTGGCAAACTAGCCGTGCGAAATTGCCACCAGCTAGCTCACTTGTAGTACTTCAGTTTCCCGAGCGGTGTCGTGTTTGTCAGTGCTTTGTTTGCAGAAAACACAATTATCGTTATGTGCGCGTGTTTTGGCCCTTTCTAGAGGTGTTCTTGCAGACTTATCCGTGCTTTCTTATCATATATTTGCATTCACCCACCAGGATATGGTGCTTTTCTTAAATCATTCAATTATTAGTATTAATTCCGTCATAACTCGTTTCACTGCCCAAATTCCTGTACAATATAGCAACAAAAAAACGTGATTCGGGTGCGAAACTTGCATGGAACGCAACATCGTTCTATGACCATTTGCAATCCGTTGATGCCAGGAACGAATATCTCGATGATAATATTTTTCGTGGCCTTAAGCGCTACGCGGTCAGTGATGTGGCAGCATGCATGTGACGTGTCTGCAGCGCCATGTGTGCCTTGGTGACCATGGGACAGTCTGTAGAAATGACGTGTCTGCGGCGTGATGTGTGCCTGGGTGACCATGGCACAGTCTGTAGAAATTTGCGGGCGTCAAGCTCAGAAGCCAGAGGGTTCAAGTCTTAAAGAGACCAAGGCTGTGACCCCTCGCTACATGATCTTTGGAATAGCCAGCGCAGTTCAAAGCCCCACATAAATGTGAAGCAGTCCCTTAATGAATTGAGCCGAACATTGAATATTTTCTATAATACTTTTTATGGATGGCACAAAATTTGGATTAAAAAACGCTTGCCACATCCAACCAATTCCGAAACACTCCGATAATTTTTCACTTTTTTTTTGTTTGGCTGTGCCCTTAACGTTTTGACGCACAACACTGCCACATGGGAAGTGACACTGTCGCAGTTTCAACACCAGTAAGGCTCATATTGAGACCATGGCTTCGCAACATCATTGCATCGCAAAGGGAAAAACTCCTGGCAGAAGGTAAGATGCCAAATTAATAAGGTAAGTATGCCGAATCCACAATAGCTAGCCGCCAAAACGATATATGTTAGGTTAGTACAAAGCCATCAACAATGTGTCTACCAACAGAATCCAATGCTAAACTACATTTGGCACTAGTATCACATACATGTTGCACCAGTGTCCGTGAAGTCTGGAGAAGGTCTCACGAGTGACCCCCGCTGGCCATATGTGAGTTGGCCGCAGACCCGGACGCGTTTCAGAGCGGTGTCTGGGACCTGCTTGGTCGTATATCACCCAGCCACATGCCTGGCCGCCTGGCAGTTCTGCACCAGCGTGTCAGCATCGCCCTCGACGGCGGCAGATGTGGCGCATGCCGGGTCAATGGTCGCGGTTCGCCTCGCCCCCCACGTGACGTCACGCCCCCTGCAGCTGGCCCGTCACGAACCCTGCAGCTGGCCCGTCACGAACCCTGCAGCTGGCCCGTCACGAACCCTGCAGCTGGCCCATCACGAACCCTGCAATCCCTGCGCGCCGCCGTTCTGCCGAGACTTGTGCGCCACGCGTGCACCCCCAGCGCACCCGCCAAGGCGCAGCGGTGAGCCGCCGACGTCAGTGCTGACCACTGCAGCGACAACGGGCGCTGACCACTGAAGTGACAACGGATGCTGACCATTGGAGCGACAGCACGCGCTGACCACTGGAGCGACAGCGCGCGCTGACCACTGGAGTAACAGGGGGGGGGGGGGGGGGGGAATAATCGTAATCGACTCGGTATTGTGGGTACCGTCCGGTTTATTGCTACTGCGCACTACGCGGTCTAGCGTTCTTGTATGGTGGTTACGTACTATGCTGTTGTGAACGGACCCGTGGCCACACCAACCTGCGGATCTTTCTTTACATATCGCCATAACTTGCGTTGCATACCACTAGCTAATAATTCCATATTGTGCATGAAGTGCAAGGGCGCGAGAACTATTTCGAAGTGCCTGGTAAGCGAAAAAAGACTTGCCAAGCCCACCTCCCTACATTTTTACCACGGGCTTACGCCATTTCAACGCCGAATTTGAAACAAGGTTGCTTCGTTTTGTTAACATTCATTATCGGCGTCCATGCGTGGCCTGGCGCGACGTGCAAGGTGAACAATAACTGTCGCATTATTACATACTACATATTAAATGCCGCATTATTGCACAACTTTTTGCGTATTTGCACAGTACGGTCCCATTTTGTTGTTTGTTAACAATGTCTGACGAAACTAAATGTTAAGAGTATATCGTTACATCTATATCCCGAGAACATGCAATCGTCTTTCACGTGCACGATACCCAACGAAAGAAAAATCACGCCTGACATGTTGGAAGACCATAAGTGCCTCCACTTACATCACATTGAGATTGATCACGGGCTACCACTTGCCAGCGATGGAATGTTTGGCCCATCATCCAGCATACCTCGGCTAACTCCTGCAGTAACTCCGCGTTATTACTAGAGACACCGCGCTGTCTCCAGTTCCGACACTAAGGATCGCCGCCAGCGCTCTGCTGGCCACTGCAGTGGTCTTTAGAGTCTGAATAGCAATGCCCTTTGAAACATCGCTGAAGGAATCGCATGCCATTGCATTGTCACCTTCAACATTCCAGTCTATTGCAGCGTCCAGTCGTGCTCCTCAGTCATCTCAGACCACGGGTACATCCACTGACAGTTCAGGAATGGTTAGCGACTGAGCTGAAGCCAGGTACATACACAGGCGACCTATGCACCATAATGCAACGGGATCGGGCTGATGAACGAAGCTATCCCTTGACCATAAAACTATCGCAGCATGATTCCAGGAGAGGATCAAGATTTTTCAAGACAATTCCTCGCTTTTGCGTAAGAGGCCGTCCATAACCTACCTTAAAAGCGTGACAAGGGCAAAGGAGCTCTCGCCTTCGTAACCAGTGCATATCTACTGGAGAAAATTTGAGACCTTCACGAGTGAGATTTTCTGTACACCCAACACCCATGCGGACATATCTATATCTACTAGCTACTTATTCCTAACCAGCTGTACCCACCCGTCACCCATTCGTTTACATTTGGCTAGCAAACTAGTTTTACTAGTTTTAAATCGTGAAAGATTTCCAGCGACGCCTCAGACTGGCTGTTTTTCGTTCACAATTGTAAAAGTAGCGCGAATGGAGCTTATCGCCACGTGAAGGAACTAATGGGAACGGCACAGGCAGTAGGATTGCAAAGCATGCTTTGGAACATGTACCCGCATTTCGTCAACGTCCTACCCATAACCGTAGGCACCATATTTGCAATTTTCCCGAAGTTGGTATCCAACCCAGCCCGTTACTCCTTCCGCAAGAGCACCCATGGCTTTCCCCATCCCCCAAATCCCCCGAGAGATTGGCCCAACGTGCGTCACGTAATTTAAAAACGTTCCCAACCGAATTGGAGATAACACAAACAACTATGCATCTAGCAATTTACAGTTCAGTGCTTCAAATGTGTGCTTTGAGTAAATCCCGTGGGCATATGCTCATATGCTACACATTTTGTGCATAACGCTTGAAAAAATGACAACATATGACATAACGCCTCTGACAAATTGTCGAGTCTTACATCCGTGTCATGTGACTTCCCCAGACTTGCCCGTACCGCCTGTCCGCCCGCGGTCAGCACCCCCTCCCCATAATCCCCTGACTTTGCATTCCACGTCTTCCGTTGTTTGATCCATGTCTCTGGGACACCCCCGTAAGACGGCGCTGGAGCAGCGCTGCCTCCCCCACCGCTCCAGGCTAATCCGAGAGCAGGACACGAACCACTGTCGGCGGATCACTGAGACGGCGCTGGAGCAGCGCAGCCTCTCCCACCGCTCCGAACTCAGTCTGAGGGCTGGATGCCAGCCACTGGCGGCCGACCACTGGGCGTGCCGGCTGTAGGGGTCAGCCGGTAAACCGCCTGATCCGCCGCGGTTTGACCTTGAGAGCCAGCCGGTCGTCTACCCCGGCGTGCGCGTGGATTCTGGCGCCGAAGCGCGACGCCGAGCCCCGGAAGCGCCGGCATCGTGTGTGTTGGGGTGTGTGTGGGGGGGGGGGGAGGGGCGAAATGGCGGCCGCGGGCCCAGGAAGCGAACGGTTGGCCGAGGGAGGGGCGGCGGTGAACGACACCGGGGCCGAACAGTCCGGAATGCCTCGATTCCAGTGCGAACAGTTGGCTGGACCGAACGCCGACCGTGCCGCGACGGTCAGCACGTGCTGGTGGAGTCACGGGCGACCGGAGGAGCGCCACACCTCCTCCGCCTCAAGCCACCGTTGCGGGCGTTTCCAGCAGGGCGGACACCAGACGCTCAGTCACTACGCCATCGGACTGGGCGAAACAGACGGAGAACAGCGGCCCTCTTAGCACAGCGATGGGACGGTGGAGACAGGACATATGGGCAGGAACTGGCAAGCCCGGCTAGTATTATGCACAATTTCTCCTATAAAACTGACCAAAGACGCTGTCCCCTTTCAGCTCACTACCTGAGGTCGGGGCCCTTGTTACTTTCTTACCACCCTTCGACAGTTTTCCGTCTGAGGGTGACTCCGAGTATCACCAGGCCATGAAGAGAACGCATATTTCAGAAAACCGTCATGCCATCAGCACGGAGCGGAAAGCAGGCAAGTATAATAATCATGCTTCAAGAATGTTCCCCTTGCGAACCCTTGCGACCGAAGTCCTCACGCTTGGTCGCGCCGCGTTCTTTCGGCAGTGACTGTCGATTTTTGAGTGGCGTGCTCCCCATAAACACATTCCAAATTGTTGCGGTCGGCAAAACCACACGGAGCCCAACGGCGTGGCGCTTACAGGTGGAGCTTGATAGGAAAACTTACTCAGTCAAAGCAGTGAGCATTCCGACACATACAACCGACTTCTGTACAGATACGTTCGATTGTCGTTTTCCGTATCCTAACGTCATTCCCACATCACGCTGCTGCGTTGCAAGCACGCGAAATTCTTCGGAAACTTGTCATGCATTCTGTGCAGCCCGCTACTGGTGATATCACCAACCAACACACTTTGAACCCAACACCAAACCAAGTCCGCCAGAACAGCGGTGGCCGAGGCGCACAGGGGTCATTCCCCCGCCCAACGGAAACTCACCGCGGTCGCCGGACGCTCCCCACATGTTCCCGGTCGCGTTCACCCACGTCCACGAGGCCTCGGAGCCCACATCAAGCTCTGCGCAAGTGACCGCCCGGCGCCACCGCTCACTGACGTCGCAAGAATCACTGAAGGCACCGTCACGCCACAGTATGCGCTCCGCCACGTGCGCCGACCGGCAGCCGCCAGCCTGCCGGAATCGCCGGGCCCAGTCGACAGGCGGCAGACTCTACGACGCCGGACCGGCTGTTCGGCGTAGAGCTATCCAACCGGCTGGACATGTCAGACGCACGGCGCATTGAACGGGGAAGGGGGAGGGGCAGGGGGCGAGAACACGCCAAGCCAGGTGCTGTGCTCCGGGCTTTCTTCAAATTTGCGTTGGCTCTATGGGCGTTGACTGGGAAGAAATACCTGAAAACAGATACTGGCCCCAGCATTTGTGAAGGCTAACACCGCCGCTGGTGATGGTAAGATCATGGATTTAAGCCGACGAAGGCGCTGTCCGTTCTCGAATGCTTACCGGCGGCCAATCTGATTGAGAACAAATTGCAAAAGAGTTTTCAGCAGCATGTGTTAACGGATGGACCCCATATTAAACTCACTGGCCTGGTATTTTATCTAGGGCAAGCTCGGCGGGAGGATAATCCAAGTTTTTTGAGGTTTTTCATTTTATCGGAGGGCCTATTATGCCGTTAACGGAGACTCAAATCTTAGGAAGCACCAGGTTCGCTTTTATGTAGAGGTACATCGTGGCAGTGTATTCAACAATTCCCAATGGCTCTTGTACGTAAATGTAAAGCCCCCGCTGTCCTACATAAAGCTATCTTTGTGCGCATCGGCCCATCTCCGAGGAATGATGAACACCTTTTGTCGGTGATCACTAGAGCTCTCATTACTGAGATGTTCCTTTTCTGTAAATTACATCCGATTCTACGCCTTTCACAAAAATAAAATTTCACGTTGCCTTGAAGTGGGAAGGCGCTACTACGCTGCAAAAATCAAGATTGAAATCAACGAAGACATTGCTCTATAATGCCTTCATCGGGGACGCGAATTAAAATGACCGAAATCCGAGGAGAGAGATTTTGGAGTGGGTTAGGGCAGCCTTGTCGGCTCAGTCCTCCGCCCGACCGGTATATGACAGTGACTCCCCTCGCGGAGTGGGTTAGGTCAGCCATGTCGGCTCAGTCCTCCCCCGACCGGTATATGACAGTGACTCCCCTCGCAACATGGTTATCGGACGACGGTGTCCATTTATGGGGTTGCACCATGCCAACGTCTCCCCCCCCCCCCCCAATATTGACGCCATGCACTGGAGGGTGGTAAAAAACAACGCTTTTCGCAGATGGTCAGCGAAAGGCTATTCCCTTCACTTGTTTATGCCATGGGCAATGCAGGTCAGCATGCATACAATGCATGATGCTTGGGACGCCTTTTACCTTTTCGTGGTATCTGACCTTGCGGGTGGGACGGTCCGATGGCAGAGCTAATTAGTGCGCATGATACTCGTGCTTACGCGTGTGTGTGCCTACGTCCGCGTGTGCGTTCATGCTGCGTGCGTGCGTACTTGCGTGAGTATGCATGCATGCTTGCGTGTGCATGTGCTAGTGCGTATATGTATCTTGTGCATCTCTGGGTTTGAACAAGGATGCTTAACCACCATTCTTCATTAGCACTCACTTAACTGCTAGTTTCGATTATTTCAGCTACAAATGCACACGGTGCATTCCTCGCACGTGAATATGAGTATGTCTAACACGGTGCCGTATGTTCTCAACCTCGCTTCAAGCCGGCTATCCGCAATAAGTAATGTCTGTGGCGGGGTCATACCAATAAAACGTGGTCCGGCGGTCGACAACGACATAATGGTGTCATCTGAAAGCGCTTCCGCAGTGCTATCAAAAGCACACAGTCATATCCTCTGCGCACAACCATGGGTATGTTATAAATGACTGCCGTGAGTTGCCAGATTCACGCTGAGGCCAGGGCGCCAGCATTGAGTGATGTGCTGTCAGCAGGTCATACAAATAAAGTGGGTTCCGTTACCAACAGTAATGCTATTGTGAAATCTGACCACCCTTTTACAGTCCTATCAAATGCCCATGGTCAAACCGAGTGGACGTAACTATAAAAGTTTTAAATGACTACCGTATCTTGACAAGCTCCTGTAACCGTTCGGCCAGTTAGCATCCAGTAATGCAATCCGAAGGGCCATACCAATAAAATTAGTGCGATGAGCAGCGAATAACGGTACGTGAATTCATTGTCATTGCGTTTCGAAAGCCACTCATTAATTTCCGTATGGAAATTTGGCCCTTGCTGCGGCAATCATGCTGCAGCAATTCCGCGGAGGGATTGACCCATGCGAGCACTCTCCATTTGTTTTGCCTTCATAGGTCAAACCAAACTGATAAGTTCAAATGTTTGGATGATGCTGTAAAACCCCGCATCCCATAAAGAAGCTAAATCCAAAGTGACTAGCATGTAGTGTAGTTTCAATGGCGATCTATCTGCAGCCTTTTACGCTACGTCCAAAGGCGTTTTTCGCGTTCCAAGCGTTCAAAGCATTTTTTTTTGTAGAGGGTTGAACACTTTCTAAGTAAAGTTCCTTCTGACCGAACGGCAGTCTTCACCACTGCTTGTCAACAAGGAAAAGGACAATGTTTTTTCTTGGTGCAAATTATTTTGCTGTTTTATGCACCTTTATAGTGGTTTTAAATCACACTCTACCATATCATTTCATACAACACACACACACACACACACACACACACACACACACACACACACACACACACACACACACAACACACACACACACACACACACACACACACACACACACACACACCTAACCACCTACGAAACAGAATCGTCAGACGTTTATCTGTACACAGACGTTTTGCCCTGAAGTATAGCTATGGGACGAGGAATGACAGAAACTCGTTTCTTAGCATTACCTTGTTCCATAGACATAGGAACGTTTCAAAAAGTGGTGGGAGGGAGGGCCAAGTTCAGAGTGTACTTGAGGAACTTTTTTTGGAAAGCAAGCCCGATGACCAGCGGGGGGGGGGGGGGCGGGGGTTAGGGATGGAGGTTGTTATCACTCTTTATTCAAATGTCATGGCTGCTACGCTAGATATGCATCTAGAGCTGTTTATCACTGGTGCACAATTTTGCCTATTCGACTCATCTGTCGTTTGGCAAATAAGGCTGTCCGGCTTCCCTAGATTATTCCTCCGTTTTAACATTGTCTTTCCTGGGGAGGCGAAATTCCGCGAGCGGGTAGGCATTTTGGGTCATTAAGGAAACATCTGCCTCCACAGTGTAGATGCCAAAATAGGGTCTGGATATAGGATGGTGAGAATTTTGAAAGTGGATCGATGGCTCACAGTGCGACAGATTTTTCATGCGTTTTCATTTCGCTGGCTGCTTTTCAAGATATAAGACTTGTCGCAGAATTTTAGGCAGGAAACAAATTCGGGAGCTTGAAACTGTTAGAAACAATGTGACAAAAGCCATAAAACTAGAGATTCTCTTTTAAGAATCAAGCCACATAATAAGACCCATCTGTCATATGTTCCTTGTCTACGCCCTGCTTCTGTCCGCCGTCGGTGGCCACTGCCCTGACCCGGTTGTCTCCTGCATGACTGACCGCGAACTGATCGTATGGCTGCTTTGTTGCATACTTTTGTACCATCGTTACTACTACATGGTGTATGAAACACGTGCAGGACACCTGCAACAGTATCTTTTTCCAAACTATCTTCCCTCACACCACACCACCGCAGAAAAATAGTCTCCGGGAAGCTGTCTGCCTTAGGAATGAATTGGCCCAGCGGACACTGCATTGCCCATCATGCAACGCATAAGCTTGATCTGCTTTTGTGTGTGGGCAGGGGCGTAGCCAGAGCCTTGCCAAGGGGAAATAGAAGGCTGACAAAAGCCCATCTTACGGTGATCCCCCAAATCCCCGGATATAGCTTACTTGTTAGCAAGTGACACAGTTTTCTTCGCTTTATTGCTATATTTACCTTGTAACCAGAACAGAAACCAGGAGCTATCGTGAGCTCAATTCTGTTTGTATTTTGAGGTGAATAAACTGCTGAAATCAGGCGTTGAACGACTGCATGGAGTAAATCACCGGCGCTGTTAATTTATAATGGTTGGTTGACTCTTTCTAAACCGGTATAATTCAGAAGCCTTGTCAAAATTTTGTATCTGGGTTCTAAAAACATTGAAGACATCGCGAAGGGAGATTGTAGATCGATATGTTTGATCCAGATTTGAAGATGAAACGTTAATTGCAGATCCAGTGGTCAACAAGGCGTATTAGCATGGCCAAGCCATGTCTGCCTTAGAATATTCACCATGCAGTCACAATCGATTAATGATACAATTTATGCAACGTGCTTTTTACCATGCGCCAACAAAAACCTCGACACTAGGCGTTGCAGTTTCCATAGTCCGCGGAGCGCTAGCCCAGTAGGTAATATTTAGCCGTGTCCCCCAGGTAGACGAAAATGATGACGCTTCTAAAATGATTACCTTTAAACACTTAAATCGTCTAGTAATATAAGTTATGTGACGTAATTTTAAGCATGCGCACTCGAAAATTTTGGAAACGCAAGCCTCAACCCCAGGCGTTGCAGCCTCTGTAGGCCGCGCAGCGGCGGCCTAGCAGCTAATATTAAAGTGTGGCTGACGGGTGGACGAAAATGACTACGCTTCTGAAAAGGTATCCTTGGATGCTTCATGGTATCAGATCTCACATTTAGAAGGCAGTCTGAGTGCATATTTTACGTGTGCAATTTTTAGACTGATGAAAAGAACTGATTGGCCCTTAAAGCACCGCGAAGTGGGGCTGGAATCTGGTGGTTGAACTGGACGAGTTCAGGTAAAATCTCTATTTTTCGTATTTTTGCAGCTATTTATCTATCCAGAAGACAGATTAACCCGGCGCCCGCCGTCTGGTGGCACTTCAGTGGCTGAAGGCGGTTGGTTTTACGGAAGCTGTAGCCCATCCTTGCCCTTGCTCTCGAGGTTTTTGGCTGGCATGTTCAAACCTTTTGATGTAATTTGTTTCACTAACCCATTCTGAAAAAACTAAACGTTCTCAGGCAAACATGGCACGACCTTACTGATTTTTAAAATTCATTTCGACCCACCCCATCTAACAATAATGAGACC